TTTTTGAGAAAAGGTCTCCTTGTGTGATGCAGGCTGGCCTCGAACTTGTGGTGATCCTCCTGCCTCAGCCTTCTGAGTGCTGGGATTACAGGCATGTACCACCATGCCTCGTGAGGATGACTATTTTTAAAAAAAATATTCAACTGTCAGAAAAGTTAGAATTTTTTTTTTTTGTGTGTGTGTGTGTGTGTTTGAACATAGGTCCTAGGGCCTCACACATGCTAGGAAATTGACAAATTAGAATTTTTAAAAAATTACGTTAAATAGACTCTCCTTATAAATCAGACTTTCCAGAGTAAGGCTTCTGCACAGCATTATTTGGCCAAGAGAGAAGACAACCAAGGATAAACTGGTATGTAATGAATGAAAATCCCTGAGGACAGAAACAGGACTTTTAGAAAACATGGCCCCGCTGAGAGAGACTATTATTTATTTATATACTGTATTTGGCTTCTGTTTCTAATCTCAGTTGCAATTCCCACATTGAAACCGTTCCCACCCTTCCTGTGTCCCTTGAGCTGAGCAGGCACTTCCTGTCCCAGTGGAAATGAAAGAGACTGGGGGTGGTGGATGTGTGCTGGCTATTTACTCTGCAGAACTTGAGCACTGTCTGTTCCATTATCATAGCAAAAAAAAAAAAGTGACAGGAAAAGCAGACCAAAGGCCAGGACTTCACGGGCGGGCGGGCGTGGGCTTCATGTTTGTTGTGACCAAGCGCACAGGGTTAATTTTTGGCTGGAGAGCGCTTGTGATGGCAGCAGCGTGGCCTTGCGGAGGGATGTGAGGCCTCACTGTCCATCCCTGCTCCACTCGGATGAGCCCGGCTCCTGGGCATCCTCCTCAAGGTTTTGGCTTCCTGCAAGTTTCTTTTCTTACTAAGATAACTTCTTCGAGGGCGTTTCTTTGTAACTACCAGAGGTGAGTGTTGTTGGTAGGGTGTTAGGTTCTCGTTTCTTAATTTTTTTTTCTTTTCTAAGAAATGTTATGTATTTTTAAATGAAGCCTATAGTTTTTAAATATATATATTTATATACTATATTGCTATATGTGTAATTTTTTTTCCAACTCAGCTTGAAGCAGGCATCCCAAACTCTGAGAACCATAATTTGGACAAACATTCCAGGTTTGGTGAGTTTTTTTTTTTTGTGTGTGAGTTTTTATACTTGTTTCAGCTTTATGGATCTTGAAGACTAGGAAGTAGTGGGATGAAGAGTCCAACATCGTTGTTTCAACTTTTAGAAGTAATCACAGGCTCGAGGCTCATGGTGCAAGTGAGTCTACAGGTGAATCTCGGCATGAACTCCTTTCCCAGAGCATCTAGAACAGGACAAGTGCCATTCAGTGTGACCCGGGAGAAACAGAGCTGCCTAAGGACCTGAAAATATATACCCTTCTATTTTCTCTGTTCTTTGGTGTGGTCCTCAGTTCCTTTTTAGTTCATTAAGACATAACAAACCAGCGTGAGGATGGTATATACCCGTAATCCCAGTACTCTGGGAGGCTGAAGCAGGAGGGTCCCGAGTTGAAACCTAGTCTCGATAATTTAGAGTCCTTGTCTCAAAATTCTTTAAAAAGACCTGAGGATATACCTCAGTGCAAAGGTGGCTCTGGAAACATATGTAATATTTTTCATGCCCTAAATATAAAATAGAGGAAGGTTTATCTCACACACTCTACTTCAGTATGATTTTCTTCAAAGCAGTGTCTCAGTGATCCCTTTGATATAACGCTTGAAATGTTTTATAGCTAGAGATCTAGGGGGAAGGGAAAGCTTCGTTGTTTTCTCATGAGAATCAGAACTTGTTCACTGAAGAAAGAATAAGGGCTTGAAAGGGGTTAGACCCAAGAAGCCTCTTTCTCTAGCTGTAACTACTGAGCCTATGGGAAACAAATAAACAAACAGAAGCCCTCGGACGTTAGGACCCAGCGGAGGTGGCGGCGAGCGTCGCCGGCCGAGCTCCCGGGTGACGTCGGGCAGCCCCCGCGCCCCCGCGGCCCCCTCCCCTCGCGGCGCTGCTCCTTTTCTCCTTTTTCTCCTCCCCCCTCCCTTCTCCCTTTCCCTCCCTCCCTCCCTCCTTCCCTCCCTCCCTCCTTTTCTCCCTCTCTCCCTCTCTCTTCCTCTTTCCCCCTCCCTGTCCTTCTCCCTCTCCTCTCTCTCCGCTTCCTAACATTACAGAGAAAATGCTGCTATCAGTGACTTCCAGGCCTGGGATTTCGACTTTTGCCTATAACAAGAACAACAAGAAGGTAGAGAAACACGCTTTTTTTTTTTTTTTTTTTTTTTGGAATCCAGCTACTTCCTTTTCTGGGGATCCGGGAGTGCCCTTGGTTTTCGCCTTCTCCTTTAAGAGGGGAGCCAGATTCCTCTCTCGCCGCCTCCCGTCTCAGCGCCTCTCCCTTTCACCACTTCTTTTGGTGCTTTTTCCCCCCTCACCTGGTCTCGGAGTGAAAGGAATTTCCAGTCTCTTTAGGTGAGGCCCGAGAGGGCAGGGGACTTAAAAGCAAATCAAACTTTCCAGTTTGTTAGCCCTTGAAATGAAGTTCGTTTGCCTTCCCGCTGATGCATTCCTCTCCGCGGGGAAAATGTACCATCTCAGACCCCAGCTCCCGGCCCGCCCCCAGAGACTGTTTGATCCCTCTCTTCTAAGTGCTCGCTCGCTGCTCTCGGCCACCTCCCTCCCCGCACCGGCCGCCGTCGTGGTCGTGGTCGCAGGTAGCCGGCGGAGCCCGCAGCCCCTCGGGACGCGGGTGTGCACGCCCTGCGCGCCCAGCCCCGCGGCAGGCGGCGTCCGGAGGTGCCGCGCTCCTCGCCCGCCCGGCTGGAGGCGGAGAGCGCGGAGAGGCTGCTGCTGCTGGTGCGCTGGGGCTGCGAGCGGTGCAGACGGCCCGGCTTAGCGGGACGCTTGGAGCCCGCGCGATGGACCCGCGGCTGCCAGGGCTGTGCCGCGCCGGGGGACGTGGGCTGGGAGAGAAGGGCAGCCCTGCGCGCGCTGGCCGGGCGCCTCTTTGGGAGTGTTTTGGCGTTCGGGACGGAGCGTCCTGACGAAGAGGAACTTGGCGCTGTAGCTTGAGGACTCTCCACTCTCTCTCTGGGTATGATAGCTGTTCTCCGAAGAAAACAAAAACATGTTGTAGATAGTTAGGGATTTTTATTTTTTTTTTCTCTCATGTACTGGAAAGTTAGAGGGTGGAAAAAGATTCCTACCACTTTCTCATGTGTCTAGAGGGACCAGTACAGGTAGATTTAAGTACAAGCATCTTACCAGGGCAGTGGGTGGATGTTTAAACCCAAAACATTGACGTTAGTTGGTGGATGTCAGCTTGTGTGCTATTTATTCTAAGTATTTAAGAACCAAATACTCCTATATATTTGTTGGTTATAATATATCTATGTACTTATACTGATATCCCCTATCAAATATAATGTATATATTCTTACATATTATACATGTATATTTGAAAGGAGACTATTTGATCTTTTTTAGTCTCATCAAATCTAGGTAGTACTGTACTATATGGCTTCTCTTCCTTGTTTCCTTCGAGCTTTCTTAGGTCACCCACAATCCATTAAAATAAAGTAAAATGAATCCTCAATATTCATTTTTCCCTATTTGGGGTTTCATGTATTTGAAGTATAAAAATCTCTTCTCAGTTCTCTACTCCCTCCCCTCTCTCAGTATAGGAAACATTTAACCAACTTCTAAATCTAGTATGGTGTCAGGAATGAATGGTAAGGCTGTGGATTGGGATTCAAACCATCAATCTCTTCCTAGTAGTTTGTAAGATTTGAGAAGCAATTCCGGAAACATTGGGACAAGTAGATGCGTAAGCACTGATACATTAAGGATTCTTTGGGTTCTTATGGATCAGTGCTACGTCTCAGGATGTTGTGTTTGTGCATCACTCTGGCTGTGTACACAACCCCTGTGTGTACGCAGCAGTTGTGAATGTTGGAAATATTTAAACTAATGCATTGTTGAAGTGTTCCTTGTCTTGACATTGACATATGGGAGTTAATGTATTTCTCTGTTTGGAGAAGAGTATTTTGAATGGATTTACTTTGGTAATTTGTATAGTTTTTACCTACAATTTTAAAATGGCTTCTGTTAATTTTTAGTGATAAATGCAGGATGTACCTGTTTTTAAATTGAGCATAAAGAAGTTTAGAAAATAAAGTTCTCTTTGTGTTCTGTAGTGCGTTACTGAGATTCCACTCCCCAATGACAAGGACTGATAGTGGCTTGGTATATGTGTCCTTTGTCTTTTTAAAAATGTCAAGACAGAGTTTTAATTTTGACAGTAGTTAATGTGTCATTCCTGTTACAATCTCAATTTTCTTTGTTTTATTTTTTGGTACCAGGGATGATCTCAATTTTAGCCTCGCAGCAATTTATCAGTATAGCACGACTGAGCCTTAAAATTAAAAATAAAAGGGGCTGGGGACGTAGCTCAATGCAAGGGCCACAGTTCAGTTCCTGGTAACACACACACACACACACACACACACACACACAGTGTGTACGGGCATACACTCATACAGAAAGAAAAAGGAAAGATTTCATTTGCTCCAGTTGAATAAGTCCGTGTAAGAAGGTTCTTGGACTTGTCCAGAATGTTTGAAACATGAAAATAGAGCAGGAGGAGCAGCTGAGTGGCAGAGCCCAGGCTCAGTGTGCACAGGGCTGTAAATCCTATCCCAGCATCATCTTGCCTCCTTAGAGAGGAAACTAAAATAAAAACCCATCAAATAATACATATCTGCTACTTTCTTTAAATAAGGAGAATTCTTACATCATAATTTACTGTTGGCTGTGCTCATCACCTCTAGTTGGTGGGATAAAAATAATTGCTGGTGACAGTTTGAAGAACTGTTTGTACCTCATGGTTGTGACTTGCTTATATTACAGTGTATTAATTTTATTTACTTGACTTTAAAAAGTCGGAGTATTTCATTTTGAAACATACTTTTCCAGCTTCACTTGTGGGAAAAGGTACTTCCTGAGAAGCTTATGATGATCTTGGTTTCTTACTCGTTTTTTTGGCTGGTGATAAATATAGGAATGCAGTCAGCAAATGTATGTCTAAGAAAGACAGATTCTTTCTTGGGATGTCATGTTAAATTTTCATTCATTTCTTTGAAATTAAAATAGTTACAGAAGAGGGAAATGTGGGTCGTGAAAAGGAGTTCTGCAAGATCATTTAATGTACTTTAAAAAAATTGATTTTACTGGCCTTCAGTTACTCTTGGCTAGTTAGCGAAAAGATTGAAGCAGAAAGATTAGTTCTTCTGTCTCTGTTTCTGAAATGCTTGAAGAAATTGCCTCGGTGGTGAGATTGGTGGGTAGGTGAGACTGACAGAGGAAGTCTTCAGGACTAGCGCAATTTCTTCTTGGGAAGGGCCCTCCCCTGCCTCCCCTGACGTCAGCCCCCAGGCATGTGTTAGTACAGTTTAACTCCTCATGGCATCAGCAACCGTTTCCTTTGGAAAGAAGAAAAGGGGCTGACTTTTACTAGGGAGAATTTTCTGTCCCACCTATTTTGCATAGATTTCCATTTTTCTTGCTGTTAATATACTGAGGACCTTTGTGGGGACTGGTGGCAGTGATAAAAGTAGGACTGACCAGTGAGTACTGCCAGGTCTTTGCTCTTTGAGAAGCTTCAGTTACCTGAGATTGTCAAAGATGTTTACTTAGGAAAGAGAGGGGCTGGCATGTAGCTCAGCAGCACAGCACCTGCCTGCCGAACACAAGGTCCTGAGTTTGATTCTGGCGTATCCTCCTCCCCCAAAAAGAAGTCAAACAGGAAAGAGAACAGTGTAGGAAATAAAGCTATAATCATTCGTACTTGCAAGAAAAAAGTTTCTCTGTGTGTATCTTTACTATACTTCTACCCAGTTTCCAGCAAATCAGATGTAATAGAAGTGAGTATCAAGAACATTTAAGTCTAAAATCTCTTGCCTGGGCAGCTTTTTTTTTTTTTTTTTTTTTAAAAAAAAAGGAGTTCTCACTGTGTTGCCCCAGGCTGGTCTTGAGTTCCTGACCACAGGGAATCCCCCTGCTTCAACTTCCTGATTGGCTGGGTCTAGAGTTATGCACCACCACACCCATTTTAGAATAGCTATTAGTTCTGCTATTCATAATGTTAACGCAAATGGTTGAAGTGATATATTAACATTAACCCCACCTTCCCATTTATAGCAGTACTGCCTTGATCTGTGCTCTCAATTTTGACTCTTCTTCAGGGTTTCTTTTTTTTTTTTTTTTTTTTTTTTTTTTTTTTTTTTTTTTTTTTGTGGAACTGGGGATTGAACTCAGGCCCCTGTGCTTGCCAAGGAAGCGCTTATTCCACTGAGCCATCTCCCCAGCCCCATCTTCAGGGTTTCTGAAGCCAGTAGCCTCTGGGATGCATCCCCAGTCTTTAACTTTTTTTTTTTTGAGACAGGGTCTCACTAATTTGTTCATGCTGACCTGAAATAACCTTTGATTTTGTTTGTATAAAAGGTAGTTGATGATTTTGACAAGCAGTTTCAGAAGAGTAGGAAGCAAAAGTGAGATTGGAATGGCTTGATGAATGAGAAAGGTAAGTAGTGCAGCTGATTTGTAGAAGGCTAATCTACTGAGAACTCCAGTGAGGAGGAACAACAGAACTCAGATAAAAAATAGGGACAAGATCTAATCTGAGTAGGTAGTTCTCCAGAGGACTCCGTAGGGCAGTGAAAAGAGGCTTAATATCAGCTGACAAAGAATGCAAATCAAAAACCCTATGAGGTCCCCCTTCACACACACTAAGATGTTTAAAAAAAAAAAAAAAAGACAGGTAATAATGTGGAGCAGTTGAAACTTTGAAACACTGCTAGTAGCTATAGAAAGTGGTGCACTGCTTTAGAGAACAGTTTGGAAGTTCCTTAAAAAGTTACATGGACCCAGGAATTCTACTCTTAGATACATATCGAGGAGAAATGAAAACATATGTCCACACAAAATCCTGCACATGAATATTCATAGCAGCCTCATTCATTGCAACTCCAAAGTGGAAACAAACCACATTTCTAGCCACTGATGATTGGAGAAATAAAGTATAGAGGAAGGCTGGTCTGCAGTAAAAAGCAATGGGATAGCGGGACATACCGCCAAGAGAATAAGCCTTGAGAGCATCCTGGGGCTGGGCTGTCACTCAGTGGTAGAGCACTGGCCTAGTCTGCGGGAGGCCCAGGACTGGATCTCCAGTGTGGGAAAACAAAAGCAAAA